GTCACAGCCAAGTCTAACTTCAAGTCTGTGATTTTTGTCCTCTATATAACTCTCCCTCTCAGTCATTGATACCTACTCAAAGGACTGTTATGAGGATTAAGAGGTATCATGAATGTAAGTGTGCTTTGCAAACTGTAAAGTCCCATTCAGCATATGAATGCCATGCTTTTTGCTTTTATTTTAGATTTCAAAGACTTAAAAGGATAACTGAAACAAAAATCTCCCATGTGGATTTACTGAAGAGAATAAACCCTACCAGTCTCTGACTTTGTAACAAAGATTTTTAGGATCTTCTGTAAAACAATAATGACAACAAAATCAGAGCCCTTTGGAAGTATCAAGCCCCAATTTGAATACTGTTACTCCTAACAACCAATGGTCAAGCAGTAATTTTGGATTAAATGTTACATTTCACAGGAGGTAACTGAACTCTAGAAGTTCAGATGTTTTCAAGCGGGCATCCTAAAGCCCACCTTACAAGAATACTTTAATGCTCACTAAATACAGAATGAGATGTTATTCTTGTGAATGTTCTCAGTTTTCAACTTTATCAATAAGTTTCTTCTAGATTTCTTTTAGAATTCCATCTCCTTTGGCACCTGCATCAACAGCTCTTTATGATCCATCCTGTGTTTCTTTTCCCAGCAACTGCTAAAAAGGAGTATCTCAAGTTTCAAGGCTACAGACAAGATTTCTTTTGCTATGTCTGAATTAGAAATATCACATCTACCTCATAGAGTGCTGAGGATTAAATAAACTAACTAATCAAAGTACACAATAATTGCGGAATGGCAAGAGAAAGGTTGTAGAGGTAAGCAGTGAAGATTTGGGAATTATCCTGAGGGAAAAGAAAACCCACTTAGAGGGTTTCATTCAGGAGACTATCAAGACCAGATCTGTACATTAGAAAGATCTTTCTGGATAGAGAAAAGATCAGAAGATCGGCCAGCCTAGGCCCAGAAGCAGGGAGAGCAGGTGGGAGGCTGGGATACCTAAACCAGAGTAGTGGCAGTGGGCTAGAATGAAGCCTTCAGGGCGCAGAATCCACAGGACTTGAGCAATGACGATGGAGGTGAGAGAGAGGAGGCAGTCAAGTGCTGGAGTCCTCTCCTACCTGGCACATCTGTCATTCTTTTGTAGTTAGTTGTGGTCATGGAACTTGTTTGGGCCATGGAAAAGTGATATTACTTCCAAGCGGAAGCTTTAAAAGTCAGTGTGCAATTCACCATGCCACAGTAAACAAGTGCAAGAAGGTGGCTCTGTCAGCCTGGATCCAAGAATGAAAATGACAAGGCAGAGAAGTCCCTCACCCCCAAACCAAGCTGGACCCGGACCTGTGTCAAGCAGGATAAATAAACCTTTGCTTTCTAACCTATTGAGATTTGAAGGTTGTTACTGCAGCATAATTTCCCTGTCTTAACTGATACAGTGCGAAAGCATTTAGTGGTCATCCTAAATAATAATAATAACAGTACTTAGAAACACATAAACTGCAAGTTTAGAGATCTATCTTACTGGCCTACAATACCTAGAGATACAAGATGGCATAAATTAAGAACATTGGAAAAGAAAAAAAAATTAAACTCTAAGCTACTTCTCAACAGAAATGATGAGTGCATTTTTAAAAGTGGGAAACATTTAAATATGTACTTGAAAAACTATACCTCTGATGGCCTAAGAACTATGTAAAGTGTTAAGTACATATTTTCGATTTCAACAGTTTTAAAAGCAGAATATCAGCTTGCTTATCTTTTTTTGGCACACACAGGAGAAGAATTCTGGCTGAGGACAAGAAGCAGTGGAAAGTCCCTTTCTTCCTTCCATATATTCATCTTTTACAATCAGCTCCTGCCTCTAAAAATGCAAATACCACTACCTCCACCACTAATAATAATCATAAGAGCTAACAATTTTATTGAGAACTGACTATGTGCCAGGTAAAATACTTAATTATGCTTTTACTACACTAGGTCATTTACCGTAATCCTCATAAACTCTCCTCCATTTTAAAGATGAAGGAACATGGAGAAGGCCACACAGCATGGACTAATCAAGGACTGTCCGAAGCCAAACCTGTGCCTCTCATGACCACTATACCTCACTTTCTCTTTAAGGTATGCCCAGAAAAATGTCTTTAATCATGGGCATCAAGAAAACAATTTTTAACTGGAATGGGGAAAAAAAGGGGGAGGGAGGGTATTCTCAAAGATATGGAGGAAAGAAAAAGAAAAAAACACAAGAATATGCCTGGAAAGGAGAGAGCTTTGGGCAATCAGAGGAGGTGTAAGGCAGAGAGGATGGCAGTAGAACGAAGTTTTAGAACACAGAGGGAAAGTTAGACTAAAGCCAACATCGGCCTAAACTAAACTTTCTTTTTTCATTCCCTGGGTGAATTCAGAAAATTGTTTTGGTTGTAAAAGCTATTTCTATGAGCAGACAGTTCAGCGTTATAGAAATAAATAAAATGAAACAGACCATATCCAATGGCTTCACAACTCACCCTTGCTGATAATTAGTAAGGATTTTACAGTAAAATACACAACCTCGGCTCTACCACTTGGTATTTGCATGACCCTTGAATAAGTTCCTGAACCACTGAGTCTGTTTCTTCCTCAGTAAAATGGGGCTTATAATACCAATTTCAAGAAGCCGTTTTTTTTTTTCCTCTTCACTTGACTTTATGTCAAATTCAGAGTTTCCCCTTGTCAAACTCAGATTTAACTACATAATTACTTTAAATTATTTCCAAGTACAAAGCACAACTTCTAGTCACATATTTAATATGTTAAAGAGATACTATCACAAGAAAGACCTATCTTATGGTCAGCTAACAATTTAATGAGTCCTTACAATAGAGCTATTACTATACTAGGCATTAAACATACAATGAAGAAATAGAGCCATGCACTGTTGAGACCCTACCATCAGACCACAGTTCAAAGTTTAGCACTGCCATTTATTTACCACCTATGTGACCCTGGATAACAACAGTAAGGAAGACAAAAGCCAACACTTGAGTGTTTATTAAACCAGGCTCTGTTGCCTGTATTCATCTTACTTAATCCTCTTGATAACTCTGTGAAGTGGGAACCACTACTTTCCCCACTTTACAAGTAAGAAACTGAAGCACAGAGAAGCAACTTGACCAAGGTCATGCATATTCTGAGGCAGAGACAGCAGGACTCCAGAGCACACTAGTCCTGGGCTCCTAACCATTAGATAAAATTGCCCATCTATAATATGGGCATAATCACCTTCGACAAGGCTGGTTTACGGATTAAATATGCACAGTAGGTGGCACATAGTAGGTGGAGAAAGGCACAAGGACATAGCTCTACTGGAGGACAACACAAACTAACAGGATCAAACTATGCAGGTTCTTTAGTCCCAAGTCTCTTCCAAAGACTTAGGACACTTGATGTATTACTACCCAAGGCTGACTGAAAGATCATGTTTATATTTCTTATCATGAGAGGCTGGGGAAAGGGAAAAACTTAAGGGTGAGACTACATCAAATTACAGTAAACACCAAACTTTATCCCTACAGAACATCCCTTATCTCACCTCACTTCCTCTACCACTTCCACCAAACATCATTCTATAGTCATTGCTGCTGTTGAGTATTATTTAAAAAGATTATTTAAAAAGAAAAGAACAAACAAAAAAAGCTTAATTTCATCACAAAGAGGCAGGCTGGTTAGAATTATTCTTAATAAAAAACGAAATGAAAAAGTTTCAAGAGACTAAACAACTTCCTGCTGACACAGAACAATGTGTCAGAATTGCCAATCACAACATAAACTGCATTGATTCCTATGGTTTTAAATACTATATCTCTTTACTTCAGGATACAGTTTTCTTGAAATCTAGGTGAAAGATTGAGTTCCTGGGAATCGCTACATGAGCCCTCTGTAGTTTACAATCATTGAATTCTGGAAACTCAGTAATCTAGTTCAGCCCACTCATCTCTGCAAAGAGGAATGCAATGCTGAGGCCAGACAGGGTTAGTAATTTGATCCAAAGTCACAAAGTTTGTAAAGACTAGACTCCCTTCTTCTAATCGGATGGTCTCCTCACTAGCAGTATTTTCATTCCTAAATCAGTTGCATGAAGATGCACACTAGCTATAGGAACCCAAGTAGAATAAACAGAACATATCAATACAAGGGTGGAAAGAGTCTAGAACGTGTGTATCAACAAGAAAAATAAACGTTTATTGGGCAAAGTTATATGTCCTATTTTGTTTTATTCACTACCAGTAATTTCAAAATGAAGTTCCTCCAAAGAAAGACAAACATGAGAGTTTTCTCTTTTGCATCACATTAAAGCAAACAGCTGAAGAAGAAACAGCCTGTAACAAATTTTAGAAACTAAAATCTGGAGTCTACAGCTACCCCCTCTACTGATGACCCAAAGGCTGCCTTTAGCACCACATAGCTAAAAACTTGGGTCAAAACGCTGTATGCATTTATGCAGGCAAGAGAGAAAACCAGGAATGCAAAGCTGTTATTCCCTGACTTTTGCCAATAACAAAAAAAAACAAAAAACAAAAAACCCACTGCCGTCCAGCCGATTCTGACTCACAGCGACCCTGTAGGACAGGCAGTACTGCCCCAGATGGTTTCCAAGAAGAGGCTGGTGGATTCGAACTGTCGACCTTTTGGTTGCCTTCGAGTCATTAATTAAATGTTAAGAATGGCCATTTCCATTCACCCCGCCCCCAGTCTTTTTGATGAGTTAAAAAGACTTCATTTTTAATCAAATTCACATCATTTCAAAAAAGAAGCGTTCTCCTCCATATCTCCCCTATTGAGGCCCTGACTTAGATTTGCTATATTTGTGTGACAGATTTCTCAGGAGGAGATGGGAAGGAATTTTAACTACTATTGAAAATGTCACTTTTGGGCTGGCATTTGTCCAATGGCGCGCCCTCCAAGGGCTGTCACAAGATCGCTCAAAAACAGGCTTGTAGAGGGTTGGGCCACCTGGACACTACTTACCGAAAACACTGCATTCTGGAGCCCAAAAGGTATGGGAGTCAATCTGGCCAGCGCCACCACTTTCAGGCCGCTTCCTCCCTCCACGACGCGAATAACGGCGCTCAGCTTCTCGCTGCTCTGGATCCTGGCGGCCACCCAGGCGGTGAGCAGCCGCTTGCAGACCACATGGGCGATGAAGGTGCCAATGAGGACGCCCACCACCATCAGTCCCATGCCCAGCACGAAGCCGTACAGATAGCCCGCGGCCACGTTGAGCACGATGTAGCCCCAGCCGCAGGGGAAAGAGACCACGATGAAGCCCACGACGAAGAGCAGGACCCCCAGCAGCGAGTCGAGGCTCTCCACCCAGAGCAGGAGGTGCTGCACGTAACGGCGGACCAGGGCCAGCGAAGCGAAGCACAGGGCGGCCAGCACGCAGACCAGCACGAGGCTCCGGCACCAACAGGTGCTGCCGAGGCAGCAGCAGCGCCAGTTTCTCACCTCGGCCACGCCG